TATTTTTTTGTGCATTGTACAATACTGAAGGCACAAAAAAAAGAAGTAAGGCGTGATTCGTATTAATACTAAACAAGCTTCCTGGCGTGCTGCGTTTCGAACCTTACCCGTATTCACTTCAGCAGGAAAAAATAATTTAAAAAATAAGTTAAAATTTTGAAAATCAAAATCTTTTATTAATCTAAGTAACTATGTCCTTATTTAAGGTTTAAAAGCGGACTTAAACTTGAACTAAAGATACTTGCTTTGCAAAATATTGCATAACACGTGATATTGGTATAACCTGTGCGTTCTGTGGCCTGGTCTGGCATAACTTAACCCAATTTAACTGTTTTGAGTTGAGGCCTATCTAAGAAAAAAGCCGCTCCTCGTAATACGACTCGATATTATCTTAAAAAGTTTGAGAAAAACAAAGACTGAGTCCTGATGTCGCACACTTATCGGTCGACGCAGGTAGAGGGCCAAATTAAAGGAATACGCTCAAGTGGCACAAGATGGACCGAGATGAAGGGACAGTTCAAATGAGCGTGTTTCTTCATTTTCTTTTTCCTTCTACTTCTTCTGATGTCCTCTGCTGATGGGCATCAGGATCGTCATCAAGCACCAGTACCGAAGAACGAATGGCCAGTCGGAATATTTAAAATATTTCTGTACTTTTTTGCACCCTTTGCCCATTGTCTCCACCTGAAAAAAAGATAGAGACTGCAATATTGAGACCGCTGCTCTAACAGCAGACTAAAGAGCGATGTCGCGGGGATGTTCTTGAGGCTCTTCTGTTTTTTTAACTTGCATATTTCTACTTTGTCATAGCCTAGCCCTCTTCCCCCTGAACAGTAGCTTCCTGTCAGTCGACTTTGGTGTCAGTCTTTCCCGCTTTCGTTTTATCGTGTCTTCGAGAGTTGCCGGCGGCTCGGCCTTCATTTTCGCTGTTTGGATATATACGTACCCTCCGGTCGAGAGTGTCACCATAAAAGTATTTTTGGTGTCTATCGAACTTACATTTTCTTCACATTTGATCTCTTCCTTCTATTCCGTTATCACTTTTTCTCGAAGATTGCTGATTCTATACACTTACGTTATTAACAAGGAAGTTATCTGGCTCTTCGTAGCCTATACGAGGGAACTCTGGCCTTCGGTGACTTGTACCGCTCCTGTTGGAAGTTCTGACTCCCAAACTGTTCCAGTCTTGTACGCATATGCTCAACTATGTGCTGTATTGGTACTTAGAAATATCTGTACGTGCTTAGATATGTCAGCAAACGAAAACGAAAGTAGCTGACGTTGGATTCCAGGTAAACGTAAGTACGATACCAAAATAACAGAAGAAAACACCAAAATTTGTGTTTTGCCTGCATTGTTTCGACATTTTTCAGAACTTTATCTTTATCTCTATTTTAAATTCATCTTTATATTTAGACCCAGCGGTCTCATTTGAGTACGAAAATGAGTTCTGTAGTATTATAGTTGTTGCTCTAGAAGCTGGGGCCGTTTTCAAGTTCCGATAGCCTTCACATACATACATACTTACTTGCAGATGACGAAGTTACGGGCGTAAAAGCTGCAAGTTTCAGTGTAACGTTTCTAATTCTCTGTGATTTAGTGCAGTTGTTCCTCTTCCAAATAACTTCTGAAGCCCTCCAAAAATTAATCTAATTGTGGAACTGTGCATTTGCGGCTTTATAAATACATATATATATATATATATACACATTTTTTAGGCTTTGTAAAAGTATAGTAATTCAACATGTTATAACTGTCCAGCTTGGGCGCACATATAATTTTCGATCGTTGGAAACTCTTGTTTATAATAAAAATCTATTATTATTAAAAATGATTGCACCTGTCGAGCAAAGCCAGCTGAGTTTATATGAAACATTGGAATTCTAAAGCAATATTTTCATTGTCTTAGCTAGAGAACTTGAAAAACTCGCAACTTTTATTGTTCTATTCGTTTACCTATAGGACATATGTGCAGATACAAGGAAGTCATCGCATGATTATTTGATACGTTTAATTCTGTCTAAGTGCAATATAGGGACAGGATAACATTGATGTTATGCTGAGGTCGGATGCTGGTCGTAAGTGTCTCAAGATCGTTATTGTGAGTGTTTACTCTTCTTTTTAATTCTGTATTATCTGCTTTGCCGATGACGCTTATGAGAGCAGTAAGTAAATGGCGGGAACTTCCCATCAATAGCATCACCAGTATGTAGGTCTTATCGATGCAGAACCAAATTATCCATATCTGAAATTTACTCGCTCTTCTTTTATTAACCGCTCTTCATCAGCTCTTCTCAGTTGTACTGTGTCTGCACACATGTAGCAATAGGTTAAATATTAGCTATCAATATCGATTCCTTAAAGCTGGAAAATTTTCGTCATAGCGATGTCGGAAGGCTACGGTTTGACGTTCGTATAGACAGCATTAGTTTACTGATTTGCTAGGCAAAAGGGGAACACCCTGTGAGAAATGCTCCACCAATCGTTGATGTGATGCATTACGCAAGTATATGTACTAAAAGTAAAGTTATGATTTGAAAAGTAAACAAATTGAGACACTCTAAAAATGAAAATAAGTTAATACGGACATTTTCATTGCGCACAAATATTTAGAATAATTCGGAATTTCTACGTGCAAGTGTGATTTATACATGCGAGTTGGCTGGCACAGATTCGAAATTGACAAAAGCCGTTTGTAAGAAACGATTACAACGCACAATTAAGCCGAAGGTGCAGAAAGATATTACAGCTTATGGTAAGGCTTCTTATTTCGAAAATGTACAAGCGCCTTTTCGTATTTTCATGTTAATGGTTAAACAGGCTTGCTGCATAGGTAGTAAAAGCAAGATCTGCTGTGGCTACAATGACCCATACGAATATTTTTACCGTATAAAGGAAACACGAAAGAAATATCAAGGATCGTTGTAAAGATCTTTAGCCTGTTGACAACTGTTTAGGCCACACTAAGTAACGCTAGGCATAAAATAAGCCGGGCTAACTGGCTTCTGAAGTCAGAAGAGTAAAAAGTCCTGTACAGAGGATGCAGCTATTAACTTGGTCTTAGCTGTAAGGAGCCGCTAATGAATAACGAAACGCATACATTTAACAAAAATCCCAGCAGCCGTAGTTTCCGTTAAGTTAAAGATAATTAACGTCACCACCCAAAAAATTTGAATTATCATGATGCCCAGGTTGGACAGAGGGGCGGCTGAACCATGAAAGCGGAGCAACGACGAGCCGTCAATATTTCAGCGCAGCGATTGGATGCGGTTGTAACAACTAAAGTTCGTCTTCGCGAATTTAAACGCTTCGTTGTGTTTGGTCTTTGTGCTTGTGGTGCCTCTATGATTAATACGATAGCTGCACCATGGCGTAGTGTCCAATAACTGGAACCACGTACCCAACGAAACGGACATGTTACGTCTCAACAACCCATGCAACATGTTAATGCGATTTAATAACAGTAATGTTTGTTTGAAATTAGTCTTCTGTTAACTTTTTTTTTAACTGATTCAACTACTAGTGACTAGTGGGATTATACATTCAATGAAACTACACAGCGATCCTCATTGTTATATATCGTAGGAAGCTATGTTAGCTCAGTAAAACGTTCTGCTTCTTGATGAGAATGTTTATCTTTGGTAACAAAGACAAACATTTTGCTAAGGCAGTTTCTTGTGACGCAAATCCTGAACTCAATCTTCATTTTAAACAACCAACGTGACTAGCGCTGCAAAAATAGAAGTCTTCGCGTGGTAAGGGTTCACCTCAAGAGAGGGTGCGCTCTTGCCACACGGACCGATAAACAGACACCTATAAATGTCTCTATTTTTCTCCTTGACACTTTATCCACCAGAATTATAAGGGCCCACGTTAGTGGTGCGTTATCTCAAACAACATCTAAACGAAGACATTAGCTTGACAGTGTCAAGGATAATCGACAATTCGTGCCGGTCGTTTTGTCCAGAAAAATTTCAACAAAAATTAGTGTTATCCTCGGCCAAGGTACAAGTGGAAAACTATGCTAATTCCACCGTAATAGCAGAAATACAGTTGACGACAAATCTGTATAAGTATACATAGCCGAACGCATACGCATATAGACGAATAGGCACTCTTTTCGGGGACACCACAGATGCTGTGTAGCAGAATCCCGGTTTCCAACGGCACCACTTGATCCCGACTATCAGTTTCGGACGTTCGCCGGTTGTACTGCTAGTTTTGCTAAGGATAATAGTGTAAAAAAGCAGTTCATTCTTCCTCGTCAGTTTTCCTCATCTTCTCTGCTGTGCAACAGGTCGATATCCATGGTAGTTACGACGACGATAAAAATAGCAAAAACAACACCAACAGTTACTCGGTTATTGCCATTGCCTGGGTCGCGTTGTTGTACGCCGACGAAGACCTTTTTCGAGACGTTACGTTCGTGTTTAGACAATGTGAGTACACAAAGATGGGCCACTGAAATTTGAAGAACTTTCATTTACCCAATTCTTTTAGCTATATCTAAGTCGAGTGACTATCGAATAACGAGAACGAATAATAATAATAATAAATATTAACAAAATAATAATAATAATGACGAGTTCTGGTATGGCGGGGGGGGATATCTGTTTATCTGCGCTACTTCTGTTTTATTCACGAAAACTTATCCGTATATAACTAGATAAATATACGCAACTTTTTCGCTTTGTCTACAGAACTATACGCATCTGTGTTCCTTATGAAGTGTATAAATAAAAATATATAAAAAGAAACTTGTGAACTAGCCATGATGCTCTGCTCTCGTGTGGAAATGTGGACAAAACGTTGACCCTCATAAATCACGGTCAAAAAAAAAATCATGCCACATTGGCAAAACATGCAGAACACAATAACCTCAATATCAGAGACTGACCTTTAGGCCTCCCTTATCGGTAGGTTGCTAATAATGTTTACATTCACAGTTCTGAGATGCGTGTTGTCGAGAGCTGACAATCTGTTCCTTGTCACTTTTGCAGATAATAGTTCTGAGTGAGCCACAGCTGCGAGCAATAATATCCAGACGCAAACGTGCCTTGGATCGTGCTGTCCAGAGTCTTGGTCAACACGGACTTGTCGGGACTTCAGACGATGCTCTCATGAACCTACACGATGCACTCAAGGTACGTGCTGTTTCACCTCAGTAAAACGAGTAATCACTACACAACAGCTGGTATAATCTGGCAATAGTATAATTATTGTTTTACCGCACCTATTATCTATAGTGTCACATGTCCTTATCATATTTCAATCGTGCAGTGATCTGCCTGGACTGTTTAAATACCATAGGCTTATTCTATTGATATTTCAAGATTTACAGCTATTTAGGCGGAAAGAATGATAACGACTGTGATACAACAGGAATCCAATATCTAATAAAATTGATTTCAATTATTGCTCTGTTGTCATCAAAACTTATAAGTTGTAACTATGGCAATGACAAAAAAAAGACCCCAAGTGGCGGTAAATTACGATTTTCGTATGCTCTATTAGTGCATTAGAAAATAATTTTTTCTTTTTTTTTGATAATTTCAAGCATATGCAAAGCAAATCATTTAAAATCAGTAAAGGAGCATAATATATACGAGAAAATGCACTATTGGCTTGTGGCCTATAAAATTTCAACACAATAATCTGTGCTTTGTATGATCCTAACGTTTGTCTATCCTGTTTGATTGATTGCCCTACGGCCTGACCCGTCTTCCTGTATGTATCAGTTGGAGTTTGAACGAATCCTTTCGCAATACAAGGCGGCTGTAGGCAAGCTGGAAGAACAATGGTTGGCACCCAAGGCCCCCGTGGCGCGCAGTCTGGTGCACGGACCTGCACCCACCAGGGCATCCCATCAACGGCAATTATCTTTGCGTCAGAGCGAAATTCAAGAACGGCTAATCAAGAATCAGAGCCTACTGAATGTTCTTCATCCAGCTCTAGCCACGCATCGCAACCTTGAATTGTTATTGGCTGTCTTGCAAAGAAGGATCGACTTCGATAAAGATGTCCTGTTTCAGGTTCGTAAACACTCTTATTTTAGATCTTACCCCGACGGTTTACGCCACTGTTTTACATGTATATATCTTAGCAGAGGCAATTTAGGGTGCGCAGTACTTTACCGTCCATCAAGTCAATTTTGAGCAGGTTATTCTGTGGGTTTGCATAGTCCACAATTTTTTTGTCACAATTTTGACATTGTCAGGTTACCATTTTCAAGGGTTTACAGTTGTAATTGAGAATTCGACTTACATCTTTACTGCTTGAACCGTCACGAAGAAAAAGAACAATATATATAATTTGTAGTTATAAATATCAAATTTTAACTTCGATCATAGAATCCTTAAACATATTAGGAAACGAAGCGATTCTGTTAAATAAAAGACATAGCATATTTCCAATCTGTCAGATAATACTAAAGTTCTAAATTTGCCAGTGTTGACCATATATTCCTCATTTCGTTTGGATAATGCTTAAACCCCAACTGTGTTCAATCTAGCCAACGTTAACCAGTACTATAGCCGATACTACTTATAATAGGCTCCGATAGTTATTATGAATGTATTCTACAATCGAAATTTGCTGCGTACATGGCGCTAGTTGATACTTCGCTTTTGCAATCATGGGAATACCCTCTATGGGGTACGCTGGGACGATATCGATAAGGCACATGGTGGCAGCTAGGTAGCGTTATCCAACTATTAAGTCTAGAGCGGTGAGGCCTAACGGACGGGTCGAAGTTCATCGTGGCAAGTGGCGATTGGCGGTATATATCTAAGGCGGATACAGGTGGTGAAAATATAAACAAATACAGTCTAATTGCCACTCCGCCCTGAGCATTAGTTGGCGCAAAGACGTGCTCCGTATAGATGACTTGCGTCTACGAGCTAAAACACAATGCTTGTCATGCATTACAGAAGACAGGACACAGTGCCATAATTAGAGGAAATCATACATATGGCTATACAAGGAATCTATGCTCCACCATACGTATTATATCTTATCATCGGCATAAACGGCAACAGTTGTGGACGTAATTTGCTCTACTTAGTGCTAAGGTAACCACAACCGGTCGGACATAGGCACATGGTGATGTTGCAGACAGAGGTGAAGTGCAGCAAAACATATTAATATTTGGTATCTAGGTGCTTATGGGCCTACTCTTCTCGTAACTAGTAATGAGATAAGGTTCAATGTCGAATTATGATCGATACGGTCACTGCTAATGTGATTGGTATATTTTCTAACTGCTAAAACATAGGCTCATCAGGGCTAGATAATGTTCGACGTCACTGGGAAGCATCAACAAGTTAAACAATGCGTTTAGTTAGGGGTAAACCGTCCATGTAGCTTATCTGCATGTGTATAGGTAAAAAGCATTGACGCCATTGTTCATTGGAGAGCTGACTTTGTACATCCAATAATATTTACTGGACCGATACTATACCAATAAATGACCCGTGACCATAATCTTAGATACTGAAAATCCCTAACCCGACGCAATAGTTACCCCATGAAAAACTTCTATCTATCCAAGGCCCATTCTAAACACGACAGGTAATACTATCAGTAGCTGCACGGAAACAACATTGGAGCAGCTCTTTTGATAACTTAATAAAGGAGAAGATATACGGGGTTACTAAACAGTCTTTAGTGGAACGAGATAAAGACGAAAATCGACTCTAGAAGACTCTAGGGAACAAACGAGGTCAATTTTCCGTGTCATTTGTTGCCGGACACCCATCAGTGTTGCACGTGGATACCTCCAACATTCCGTCTAAGTCGACCGCCATTCGCTTTTGCAACAGCCATTGGATAACAGGCTCAACCAAATAAGGCTCGTGCACTGATGTCATTGCTAAATCTACAAATAGGAAAAATGGAAGAGTTATGAACGAAGACCGCAATGGTGCTAACAGACCTAAAGGGCATGGCGCGGGAAAGGGCCAACGGGTTACTTCTGATCTTGTCGTAAATTGGACATGTAGTATAATAAAAGGTCAGCTAAACAGCAATGGGTAGGAACAACCATGGGTAATATTAAGGGTCTTCAAACCCATTTGCACCCCGAAAATTCTATTACATATGAGATAGTGTTCAGGAAACAGAAGTACGTGAAGCGTATGATTATAACGATGGTTTCATTGAATGTCTATAGGAACATCATTAGTCTACAATGAGGATATTCCTAGTAAGTAATCTCAACGCTGCCATTCCTAATATAGCTAATTGCTTCTCACAATGTTGAGGTACGTGCAGTATTTTGATATACTTTCTCAAGCGGCATTTAAGGACAAAGCATTTTCGACTGACAAAAGCGCAAACATAGTCAAATAATTCTTCTTAATCAAACTATTCCACAGAAAGCGGGCCTCAATATTTGTCAAGAAAATGGCGAAATCAATATGAAGTACAAATTTCTTCTCAGATTAATACATTTCGTATGTACCGGCGTTAAAGTTCTTTTTACATAACGAATGAGCTACGCCATCGTGTTGAATTGCCGCATCCATCTTGTCTCGGTCGTCCAGTCTTCGCTTTTATTCTCGTACCGATTACTACTTTTGTCTAATGTCCAGTAAATCCTTTTAGTTTTTTTCCGCCTAACGGATTCTCTGTGTTTGTACATGCGCCGCTGGTCAGTAGACTATTAACATCCTCGAGCGAGGGACTACTGCACACAAGCTGCTAGAGGAGGCTCCGGGGTCCTCTCGAGGGGGTATTCTATGCGTCGTGCAGTTCACTCGTTGCCGTAGTAACTAACGCCAACACACAGATGGACTACATATTGCAGACCATAGTTAAGGTGTGGGCATAGGTATCTTCAAACGTCGACTCAACAAAGCATTGCGGTACCGTAACGCCATAAAGCCGCGTCGACATCAGTGACATTTTTTCGCCTAGCCAAGGTGGTGCTGCAATCGCTTCTCTAACATGCCGCAAAATACAGCAAATACCTCTAAAATGCCAAAATAATACAGCAAAATTTTATTATTTCGTCAATACCGGTTCCATTACTGGCGCTGGCCCGTTAACGGTTTCTGTTAGATAGATTGGCTGCTACAACGATATCGATGATAGTTGCCATTGATCGTAATTTGGCTCGTCTCGTGTGTCTGTTTACCCGCTCTAATTTCGGGCGCACGACGCGAGACAACCGCATTTTTAAGGTGCCCCCCGTTACCCCGTCTTCCATCGAATAGCCATTTCTGTAAGAACTATTCAAGCGGTGGAGTTCGCTGCAAGCAGCGTAAGCAGCGGGGTTTGCTTGTGTCGGTTGGGTCCGATAGTGCCTCAGTTTCGGGTCAAACGGTACCTCAATACAACGATATCAATAGCGAAGGCAACAACAGCAGAGTAGGAATGGCTAACAAATCTTGCATGCAATTCGTTATGTTGCAAGCGCACTATGATTTCCATCTGTCGGTCACACTAGCATTGAATAGCTACGTTACCAAGTGAAGACACTGCTAATGAAAAAACCCCGAAAGAGAAAGACCTCATCCGTCAGCTGGCAGGGCAAAGAAAGATAGCTGGGCCAGAGGGGAAGAAAAAACTGGGTTACGAAGTGTGCTTGAAAGGTAACGGCTATTGTCTGCCGTTCGGTTCACATTCGGCACACTCATCCTATAAAGAAAACAGCAAAAATAAACTGATTGTTTTGTTGGTATATGCCCACAGTGGCTCGTCTTCTTTTTTTAGATCCTATTTGCAAGCACCTGAGTGCCGTACTTGCCAAACCCACAAATCTCTCTTCAATCCTCGGCAGGTCTACCGTGTTGTTGCTTTTGTGGCGACTTTCCACTGAATGACTTTTAGCGAGAGGGAAAGAAGTTAAACGTAAAGCTTCGAGGGGTAAAACGAGAACATCGTTCGTTGTTATACCACCCACCCAGTTCTACCTTGATCCATGTGGTGTTTTCGTAGGCTACCTTCATCCCGGACTTGTTTTAAGTTTAAATCGCTCAAAGCGTAGTAACTTAGAAGTGGAGACATTCGTCGCATGAACGTGATTATAACTTGAAAAAGAGAAGCAATCTCAAATGGCTCTGTAAGGTGGCTATAAAATAATTTAAGTTCAAGTGAATTTGAATGACTTTTTTCAAAAGCTTATTTAAGCGAATACGCCTTTAGTAACTCACGAAAAAAACGTCTCTTAAAAGGTAAGCCATATTCCCTCGTTGTTATTTTATTCCAATGGGCACGTAGTCATTGGCACACCATATTGTTGATTAGCGGCAGATTTTTAAACCTAGGCTTCTTACAAAATTTCTATAGTCTACGATTTGTCTATTAAAGCATCTCGTAGCTGGTGCAGAAATAAAAATGTGACCTATAGGTTACATGATGCCTTTGCGTAATTGTGCACGCTTAACTACGCATAACTACTGATAACACCTGTACTCTTAGGGTCTCTTTTTTTTTTCGTTTTCTAGTTCGTGCTGAGGGTACTAACGACGATCGTCTACGCTGTAAACAAAAATCAACATCAGGCATTAAATCTTCAACTCGAATCGAGCAGCAACTTCCTCGAGTTGATAGTGCGTCATCTCCTTACGACCAATTTCAATTCCCCCGAGAAAACAATGGCCATCTTTCAAAAATAAATCTCATATCCCTATCTGTGCAAACAACAAAGTTCTTCTACTTGAGTCTTATTCAATCTTCGTTGATGTAGTTGAACTGATGCCGATGTAGACCGAGCCACACATCTTGAATACGTCGTTTAAATTTAGAAAACACTTTTTAAAAAATGTTTTCTATGGGCAACTGATGGACAAGGCGGTAATCATTTTGATAATTATAAAATTAATGGCTGCGCTTTGTTTTTGTATTATCTATTGATATTGTCGTTATTTCACTTAAATAATATATATATATATATATATATATATTTTCATCCGGATTTCACGTAAAACTCTAGCCTTTCAAAAGCGATACATTCACTAAGGGACTATCGTTTGTGCTATGATCAGGTTCATTCCTGACAGTACTTTTTAGAAACTTCACCTGCCAAGCT